TGGTAGAGTGCTTGCCTTGCATGCTCGAGGCCCTGGGTTTGATTCCTCAGCACCACATAAGCAAAAAGAAAAAAAAAAAAAAACTTAATGGATCAGAACTCCAGTTCATAATGCAGACCATCAGGTGAAGGGAAACACAGGTAACATATTGTGAACATTGTTTTGGTTAGAACTCAACAACCCTGGTAAATGTCTACACTGAAACTACTTAGTTCCATATTTTTATTGGAAAGATGGTACTTTATTCCTTGCCCGTTATCTATAAAACATATTAACTGTATTTTTAAATGCATTTAGAAAAAGACAAATTAACTTCAGATGAGTTTTGTTTTTCTTAAGAGGCAAATTCTGTTTCTCAAGAAAGTGCTCAGCCTGGAAAGCTTGGATGATTGTTGCAGTGTATGCTAATAAAATTACACAACACAATAGATGAAGCTTTCATGTATTTAGCTTTCTGAAAGATGACACAGAGGCCCACTACTATGATTGTATACTTATTCGATTAGAGAATGCTGTACTAGTGGATGCTTTTCTGACCTCCAGCTCCTGCCTTGCTTTGGACAAGAATCAAAACAAGGAAGAAAGGCAACATATTCACTCCCACAGGCATGAACACCATTTCCTTATGGTTCCATCAACTTGCTCTTGCCTGTGAATCAGGAACCCAACAGGCAGCTACTGGCTCCACCATTTTAATATTCAAAATAATGTAACCTAAGCCATGTATTGTAACATCATGATTCAAAGTGACAGCCTTAATCCTTTAGAAAAGAAAGGGAAAAAAGAGAAAGAGAAGAAGAAGGAGGAGGAGGAGGAAGAGGAGGAGAAGGAGAAGGAGAAGGGGGAGGGGGAGGAGGAGGAGGAGGAGAAGGAGAAGAAGAATGAGCAGCAGCAGCATGAAAACTAAACAAAAGCAAGCACTTCGTGGCAGACCTAGATTAACCTTATGAAGTGGTCTCCTGTAGACAGTGCTCCCTCTGACTTTTAAACAATCTCCTCTTGTGTCTCTGGACTTTTTACCCATTAACAAAGCCATCAATGATAGATGAGACAGCATCTGTCTACTATCTGAGTCAGTAGAGTGCAAAGAAGAATTTGATTTTTTTCCTTGTTAAAGTCCTATCTTTGGCTAACCTAAAAGAAGAATTGGGATCATAGGAGAATGTCTTTTTATTTCTTTGTAAACATAGTCATAAGATGACAAAAGGAAAATGGCTATAAAAACTAATACAGTTATAAAATGGAATAGTATTCAATAATTTAAAAAAACATATTTGAAGCCAGGCACCTGTGGCTCACATATGTAATCTTAGCTACTCAGGAGGCCAAGATCTAATGATTGCAGTTCAAAGCCAACCCCGGTTGGGAAAGTCTGTGGGACACTTAATGCCAATAAACTACTTAGAAAAATACAGAAGCAGCACTGTGGATCAAGTGGTAGAGCACTAACCTTGAACCAAAGAAGTGCAGGGACAGTGTCTAGACCCAGAGTTCAAGCCCCAGAACTGTCAAAACAAAACAATAACAGAAAAGATATTTGAGCCAGGCATCAGTGGCTCACATCTGTAAACCTAGCTACTCAGGAGGCTGAGATATAAGAATCCTGATTCGAAGCTAGCCTGGGAAGGAAAGCCCATGAGAGTTTTCTCTCTAATTAATTACCATAAAGCTGGAAGTGGAGCTGTGGGTCAAGTGGTAGAAGGCTAGTCTTGAGCAAAAAAGCTGAGAGATAGCACTCAGACCCTGAGTTCAAACCCAAGTCCTGAGTTCAAGCCCTGAGTGCAAGCCCCAGGACTGCATTAAAAAGAAAAGGGAAAGGGAAAAAAAGAACATATGGTTGCGATTTATGCATTTATGCATTTATTATGAAATAATATGAATGATTAGTTATTATGCCACAACAAAATGTCTTATAGAAAAGAATATACATTGCATGATTCTTTTGAAAGGAGGTTTTAGAACAGTCAAAATCTCTGGGGAAAAAGTCAGCACAATGGTTGACTACAAAGGCTAGGGTAGAAATTTACTACAAAGTAGTGCTACTAGATAGAATATAAAATCCTAGATGAATTTGAATTTTTACTACAAATATGCTCCTTGCATTTTTACTTGAAAAAGCTAGCAATCCGTTAGGGAGAGGACAGGAAACATTTTTCCAGGGAGGTGATAATGCTGTACATCTCAATAAGAGTTTGAAAGTGATTTATTAAAGTCATATAAACAAAACAAGAATTTTTAAAAATACATTGAGCCCCTAACAGGCAATAGGATTACTAAATTGTTTCTATTTAGAAATATATTGATGTTTAAAAGTTGTTTCCATGAACATTAAAGAAGATGGATTGGTAACTCAAGAGAAATGGAAATGTAATAACACTTAAAATATAATTTCAATATAACAATTAACTGATAGTAAAGGTTAATGATAGAAACTCAATGATAAGCACCTGATATAAAACTCTTTCAGCTTTACTGTAGCTTTGAGAAATTTCATGACAAAATACTAGGAAAAACTCCTGTTCAGCCCTACTTTTAGGGAGTTACAAAAGAGGTAATAGACAGTAAAGAACATTACTAAATACATCATAGATTGATTGGCATAGAAAATAACAAAAGGAGGAATGGAAGGGCAAAGCTTCATGCATGCTGGATAGTACTCTTAAATAGGGTGGCCAGGGACCACTTCCTGAAGAATGAGGAGGATAGAGGAAATAGCATTCCAATCTGAAGAAAGATGATGCAGGAAGAGAAACTGAAAGATTGTATCCCATAAATATGTATAATCATGTGTCAGCTCAAAATCAAAATAAAAAGGGAGAGTGAGCATGGCAAATCTTTAGCAGAGAAAAGCTTGATCCAGCTAGTCTTCAGGTAATTCATGTCTGGGTCATGGTACATGGAACAATTAGGGGCCAGAGACCCCTGTCCATTCCTAGACAATGTTTTCCCTCTGGGAAGTATCTATATTATTTGTGAGATAGGTAACTATAAATATAAAATGGAAATATTTCAGTGGAATGTGGGTAACTTAATTTCTTGTGAAAGTCAGTATTCCCTGATGGGAATACTTTAATTGGCCCATTTTAAACATTGTAAATGTATCTTTATGTCCTTTGTATAAATGACAAACAACAAGCCATGTGTACATCCATGTCAGTGGCTGGAGTTCTATTTTTACTGGGACAGCAACAGCTATAAGCCACCTTTATCCCTCAGATAAGTTCTCAATTTTCCCCTCCCCCAAACTTACTTATGGGGAGAAAAGGTAATGATTTCCTATAAGGTGGCCCCTTTTGATTCAAGCCACTGCTTCAAACCATCTGCTATGATCTAGGCTTACTTCTAACCTTCATCTTGAGTCTGTCATGGGGCTCACCAGCCTATCTCTCTTCCTGAGACCCACACAGTCTTGCCTTTGAATATGTCAGATAGCTCATACTGGATACTCAGCTGACATGATCTGATAACACTAAAAAGCCATTACTTTCTTCCGCTAAAGTGCTTTAGTAAACAGCCAAGCCCATGCACATAAACCATCTTCACTCTCTGCAGCCCTGCCTAGAAATAGGTGTGCGCCATGGACTTTCTTCACCCTGAACAACTTCTCTGGCCCTTCAGGGCCCCCACTCTACACTGGGTAAGAACCATTTTGAGGTGCCTTCATTACTCCCTGTGTGCCGTGGAAAGGTTCAAGAGAGAATTCAATTAAAGGGGTAGGAAATAGGAATGAGCCTAAAAAGTATAATTTCAAGGGGGCAAAGCAGTGGGGTCCAGCCCTGCAAGGTTTAACCCTTCTGAGGTATTGGTGAATTGGGGGGCGGAGGGGAGTCACCGATGACCACTGAGAGGCCAGTGATTGTGGAATGGTGAAACAGAACCAAGGCTACAGGACCTTGAGATGTGAAGAAACCAAGGGTAAAAAGGTGAAACAGTGAAGATCATCCCTCACATCACATGAGCTTCAAGAACTACCCAACTTATTTGTTGAATAAACAAGTGTACTGATGGGTGAATGAATCTGAGATTATGGGATTCAAATGGTACACAAAATATTTTTAATAGCATAGGTTGTCTAGTTAAAACCAGGTTACTGAGCATTTTCCCATCATAAACATAGTGTATTTCTATAATTCATTTTCAGTGCATGCCTATGTTTTTGATGTGCACCTGATTTAGGTGCATTCTTGGTTAATGGAGCCTTAAAGTTACCTTGGGATAACTTTCTCTGTGTGAGTGGCACCTAACCCTAGTGCTTGGGACAGAGTCTGCTGTGTTCCATTGATGGAGCTTCCCAGTTGTGGCAGCGGCAACTCTAATACATAAAGGAATATGTCCTGAATTGAGTTCATAAAGGCTTAGCTAGAAAATAACATCATGATGAATATATGAAAGGAGAGACTCTGTTTCCCACAAGGACCACCAAAGACTTATATGAAGAAATACGTTTCCAATAGAATTAAAATATAAAATTAGGATTAAATGCCTGGCTTTTCCAAACACACAGCAAACTAGAATAAACTGTGGTTTGCAAACTAGGGCACATAAGTCACTCAGAGCATTTGTTGAAGCAGCGATCCCTGGCCCAGGCTCCAAGAGTTTCTGATTCAATTGTTTTAGGTGAGGCCTGATTAACTGCATTTCTAACAAGTTCTCAAATGATGCAGATAGTGCTGGACAAAACCACACGTTCAAATCCACTAATGTATGCAAAATGTACAATACATTTTCATAATCTCTTTTTTTTATTGTTCCTCAAAGCAAAGGAACCGCATTAAAATCATGAAAGGTAGTAAATTATCAACTAAAATTAGATTATTTCAATTGTAATAACTCACCAAACAAACTTTTTCCCAATTAAAGTCTCAATATTTTCTTGAAAAGGAAGACTGAAACTATAAATTGACAGAAAGAAAATAACATGATGCATGGATCTTCATTTGCCTTTTATTTTTAGTCAATTTTTCAAACCTAAATAGGTATAATTTTATTGCTTAAAAAGAGATCTTTGACATGGAATGATTTGTCTTCATTTGTTTAATGGATTCGTGAAAATATCAGTAGTAGGCATGTGTTGACTGGGAACAGCAGACAGTTCAGTCCAATGAAATTCTGTTTAAGCAATTCCGAAGATGTTAGGGCCACGCTCACTAAAACATTTCTGAGAACAGAGTAATACTCGAAGAGGTATCAGCTTCAGATTTTTGCTGATCTTCCACGTCTATAAAGTAAAGATGAAAAATTAAACTAAGGCAGTACCCAATAAATATTTTTAAATAAAATATACTTTGGATTCCTCCAATGTTTCACAAGATTGATTTCTAAAGGACACACTATTCCATTTATGCTTGATTTGTTCTTTTCCCATATATAAACACACTTAACTAGCTAAGAAAAGCATACCCAATACAAAACAAAATCTAAATAATAAAGTTTATATGTGTTTTTATGTAAACATTAGTGTATAGTCTAAATTCAGTGAGTTGGGGTAGAGGTGAAATATGACATGGATTCAACATGAACTTGACTCCTGTTGAGTTTGACGGAAGTGTTAAAGCCGAAAAATATTTATCAAATAGAATTTTGATTTGCAGATACTGAACCCATTCCCTGTGAGAATTCATCTTCTAAATATTCTTTACTTATAATCTGAAAATTTCATGATGATAGTTACTGTCTGGGTCTCCATCAATTTCTTCAATACATAACTTTTTGCACTTCATATGTTTCTATTTTTACAGCTTTGGGAACAAAATAGGTAGCCAAAAGTGGGAGGGGGAGGGAGGGAGAGAGAGAGAGAGAGAGAGAGAGAGAGAGAGAACAGAGAAACAGAGAAGCAAATAAACAAATGAAGCAAGGAAGGAAGCAAGGAAGAGAGGAGAGGAATTAAGGAAGAGAGGAGAGGAATTGAAGGAAGGAAGGAAGGAAGGAGCAAGGAAAGATAGGAGGATAGAAGCAAGAGGAAAGAAAGAGAGAAAGAAATAAAGGAAGGAAGGAGGGAGGGAGGGAGGGAAGGAAGGAGGGAGGGAAGGAAGAGAAAGGAAGAAAAAGAGGGACAGAGGAAGGAGAGAAAGAAATTCCTATTTTAAAAGAAAGTTACAGGGGCTGGGAAGGTGGCTCCATGGTAGAGTGCTTGCCTGGCATGCATGAGGCCCTAGATTCGATTCCTCAGCACCACATAAGCAGAAAAAGCCGGAAGTGGCGCTGTGGCTCAAGTGGTAGAGCACTATCCTTGAGGTAAAGAGCTGAGAGATACTGCCCAGGCCCAGAGTTCAGGCCCCATCACCAACAAAAAATAAACGATACAACCTTGTACTTACCATTTCTGTGCTTTATAATCAATTTCTGTCTTAGTAAGACAACCCAAAAGAAAGACACATGAGTAGACATTAAGTAGTTAATAATAGTATTTTGTTTTAACCATGAAACTATTTGACCATCATCATCACAAGCCACACTGAGAGATTTGATTACTGTGCTATTCACTAATCCACAAAAGAATTCTGAGATTGCCTTTAGTTGTTTGAACAAAACATATGAGCAGTAATTAAGCCATCCAAGATATGATGCTATATCCGTGGAGAATTGAAATAACAGGTCATGTCATCTTGTTTATGGTTAGTATGATACTAACCATAAGATATTCTGGATGAGAGTAAATAGGCACAGTATCTAAAAACCTGGCATCTTCCTGCAAAGACAGCTGATTCATCATCAGTCACTGGACTCCCTGATGAGTATTCGTTTTGCCACACTGCCAGCCCCCAAGCCCACTTTTTCTTTGAAAATCCTCTCTTCCTCCAATCCCAAAAAAATATATTGAAGACTGAAAGAACCAATGATCCCAACTCCTTGGGCCAAGATATGACCACAAAATTCAATGCTAAGCAGTGATCCATCTGTGACAACCATGATCAGTTTGGGGAAAGAACACAAGCCATAGCACCAAGGAGCATCAACTCAGACTGTTACTGGAAGAGAGAGAAGCTCCTATCCTTTCTATATGGCACAATGAGAGAGTTCTTAGCTGGAAACAAGGAAGGAAAGAACAATAAATAGAAGACATGTATTCATAATGATAGACTTGGGAATCTGATCTAGTCATACCTATATATTCAGCCAGACCCTTTCCCAGACTTCTAATATTTTTCACATCAGGGTGTCCACTTGGTTTCTTAGTTTCCAACCAAGAGTTCTGACAAATTATAAGTAACTTGAAATCTGTAATATCAGCAAAAGTGCCAAGAATACAGAAATATAGAGCAAGTAACTCCTGCCATGAAAAAAAATCTTTTTGTTTTTCTAGTACGTTTTTTATTGTACCCCTGTACACAAGGGTTACAGTTACATGAGCAAGGTAATGAGTACATTTCTTATCAAGCATTGTTGCCTCCTCCTTTGTTTTTCCCCTACCATCCCTTCCCTCCCACCTCCTCAACTACTCCTCTCCCCCATCCTAAATTGTAGAATTCATTTCTCAACATAGTGTCTTGCACATCTCAATGTTGCAATGAGTCAGCCTATATCCCATTTAAACATTTTGTTTTTTCCCTTCCCCTCCCCAAATTATACCAACATCAAATACAGTGAAAACAGGGGTTGTACCATGGGGAAGGGACATACAAAGCAACAAAAAAAATCACATGGTTCCTTATAAATATGTTAGAAACAATAGCAAGAAAGAAAAAAACACTTGTGTCCCTATCTTGGGGTTCATTTTGTTTAACATCAACTTATCTGAGCTTTTCTGCTTGACTCAGACATATACTAGATATTGCAAATAAGGGAAACCATGGGACCTATGTTTCTTGGGGCCTGGCTTACTTGACTTAATATAATTTTATCCAAGTCTTTCCATTTCCTAACAAATAGGGTAATGTCATTCTTTCTGATGGAGGCATAGAATTCCATATATATATACCACATATGAAAAAAATCGTATGGTGTAGATGGAAGGACAATAAACACAAAGTCACTCGAAGCATTTGCTCAACTCAGTGATAAGTCCTCTGTGAGTAAAGAGAGGGGACATGCTGCTATTCCACAGCATATAAAAGAGGAGCTGAGTTTGGAAGAATTGTTAGATGTCCATAGAGAAAGCAAAAGCACAGTTGAGTAAGGACAAATTTGAGAGCTGAAATTCAAGAATGCATTTAGAATGCTTGGGAAACAATGCCATGTAAACACTAAATAATTTATAAATTGTTCAACCATGGAAATACAATAATAAATATCCTAGTCCAGGAGCAAAAAGAATTCATAGGTTTTTTTTATAATGAGAGTTCCATTATGTAAATTATCTTACATCTACTCTAGGTAAGATAATATTTACTCCTCAACAATTCAAGCATTGAAATTGTGTGTGAAGAACTAATGACATAAATAAAAACTAAATGGAGTCTTTTTCCTTTCCAGATAGTAGATAATTCTCTTTTCTGAACACTACTTCTGGTCTATTTCTGCAATACATCTCAGCAAGAACCAAAGGACTATTGAGAATAAACCAAGCCACATCCGTTCTACTCATTCAGTTTAAGAAAATAGAGCCATGAACCAAGAGGAGGAGGTTAAAGAAAGGCATGGACAGAAATCAGGGAAGCAAGTGGGATCATGCTGTTCTCCTATATACTTTGTCCAAATTTCTTCATGAGATGAAAAGTTGGTAATAGAAAGTATTGAAAGCATTTTTTGTTTCCACTGTGGTTTTTGCCTTTTCCCTCGTGCCATTAAGAAATTGCATGGGCAGAGTTTGGATTGGCTCTTGTCACAAATGGGAATGTGGTTCCTGTGTCCCTCTCTTTCCTTTTTGGGGGGAAATTATTGTGTAGTTAATTTTAATAAAATGAATGTTCTCTTTAGCTTTTGAGTAGTCTATGTTGCAAAAGGCCACATGAGGTGAATGTGAGATTTTTCTGGTGTTTATCCTCAAACTTAATAAATCATGTTTGTGATCATATATTTTAAGGACCTATGAGTTATTTCCCAGATATTTTACTGAAAACAAATAACTAGAAATGGTTCATTAGTAATATACTTTTCCATCATGTTTGCATGAAAAAAAGATATCTCTAATGTGGTAGGCATTGTACAAGTGGTAGAATGCCTTTGTAGCATGCACAAAACCTTGAAGTCAAACTCCAGTACCATCAAAAAAGGGAAAAAATTCTAATACCTCACCCTTTTATGTCCACTTGAATTTCTACTTCAGAGACATGTGTGACATACCATGGTAAAACACCCTTGAACTGTTTGCATACACTAAACATAATAAATGACAAGAACGTAGAACAGGCCCTATGGAAAGCAGACTAGTAGGGAGACATGGAGAACAGAGATGGCAAAAGGAGGTGAGCATGACCAAAATACTTTACACACGTGTATGAAAATGTAACTGTTGAAATTAGTTTTGGAAAGGGGAAGGTGAGGGGAGTGAAAGTACCAGAGACCAAGGTATATTGTACTCACATAAGGACCTATGAAAATAAAAGCCCCTTGTGCAACTAATTGGTGCTAATTTTAAAATATGGGAAGAAAATATTTAAACAATAAAATTCCCTTCCATTTGTAGTACCATCTTAATTGTTTCCACTGGGAGGACATATATCTATTTGAAAAAAACATGCTACCAGGTGATCGTGACACTCTTTCTTGTCAGGACCTGACTACATAAATCTTGGCTAACAAAATCTCATTATTTTATCAAAGATGGTTACTGCTATGATCACTGTTTGCAGAAAGAAATTGAAACAGAGCAAAATACCTGTTTATCAAACCACAGTAAGAAATACTTTCATTTTGAAAAGATATCATTTTACATTTAAAAGTGAAAGTCTATATACATATGTCTAATTTTTCATTCTTGGCTATAATGAAATTCATTTTCCTTAAGCAAATAAATACAGCAATAGGAATTATGGTTATTATAAGTAAAAGTAGCCCTTTACTTTCAATTTAAATAAGTATGTCTGCTAAGTTTTTGTCATTTGAATAGTAGCAGCAAGATATTTTTAAGAATCATTCAGAATGTAGCTTGGTGACAATAACTGCCATATTCTAAATTTTAAAAGTTGAAAATCTTAAATGGTTTTTCTTTCTTGCTATTGTTTCTAACATATTTATAAGATGATTTCTTTGTTGCTTTGTATGTCCCTCCCCCACGGTATAACCCCTGCT